GCCTCTCCCTCCTCGTCCTCTGGGACCCTTCAACAAGCTTTAGAGGCCAAATGAGGTGTAAGTCTATTAAAAGGGAGTTTGTGTGTAGATCACAGTCCCTTTGGGGGTAGGAGCCTTTGCCTTGTCATTCAGGTGCGGCTAATTTCCTTCTGCTCCACACAGAGACATGAGGTCTGCCCGTGGTCCTCATCGCGCTCAGACAAGACCTGCTGAATTTCAAATGATATCTCACAGAGGCAGCAGGTGATTTACTGAAGTAGAACAGTGAAACAAATCTCAGCGTTATTGATTGTAGTCCTAATAAATGCAGGCTGACTGGTCACTGTTCACAATCTGTGGTTTACATAAATGTTGCAACTCGTGAGCTTTATGTAAAGAGGATGGGGGGGAAAATTGCTGTTTCTTCTTTTTTTTCAAGACAATTGGTGAAAAATTGGTGTAATTTTATCACTGTAGAGCTACAACGATACATTTGATCAAGCTCATTAATAAGATTGCCGCAGCATTAGACAGAGAAGTTTAAAAAACAAGGATAAATATGATCTTTGAGTGAAATCAAGTTAGAATTGTGGGATTAATTGAGCAGTGCTCATTGTAGTAAGATTCACCTGAAACTGTACGATGTTATGATGTTCCCATTTTTTCTATATGCTTATGTATGTTCCTGACTATACTTGATACACTACAGCAAGTTGAGATGGTTCAGATACACGTCAGGTGTACGAGGTATAATGTTGTCCGATGAATTTAGGGTATATAATATTTGATAAAAATCACGTGAGCTTGTCCGATTCGTCTAATACTTACAATGGCACTAGAATGACAGTTCTCTCTGCAAGCAGTTCTTGTGAATCCCAGCTTTTACTGTTGTGTTTTCCCAGCTTTGCTCGACTCTCATTACCTTGTTCGTCACAGCTCATGAAAAAAGCAAACTATTAAAGCATTGTTCTAGCAACACGTAACTGAGACCACACTGGCTTTCTTCTATCTTGGCTGTACAAAATGGATACAACAAAATACTGGTTCACTTCTCAATCCCGAATGGAGCAGCTCTTGGCATTCACAGTAAGTTCAATGTTAACAGATTCAGAAATTAATTCTTAAATATATTGTGAGATTGCCTTGGATCAGGCCAATGCGGGTTTCGGCTGAGGAGGAGCTTTTCTGAATCAACCATCGACACTGTTTGTCAGAGGGGACTGAGGTCAGCTGAGCAGCATTAACCTCTGGAAGGCCATCTCTGTGAAATGCATTAGACACATAGAGGAGGAGGAGGGATGTCCTGTAATAGATCATTGACTAGCGGGCAGCGGCCTGCGCCGCACCATGTGGTCTTAGCCATCAACTGACCTCTTCATCACAGACTGGGGCAGCCCACCAGTTCAGAGAAAGACGAGAAAATGTGCAGACTCAGAACAGCCGCATATACTCTACCACAGCAAAAGATCAACAGCAACTCACGACACGCAAGTGATATTATCTGTTTGGTTGCTTAAGAGTTTGCAGGACGAGAAACCGGGGGGTTTGAAACTATATTTATTCATAGCAATAAAGCAGGGTTCCTTGGCTAATGAAGGCGAAGAAACAACAATTGCTTCCGTGAACTTAGACTATCCAATTAAAGGCAGGCAATTTCTCTCTGAGAGTCACACTCAGGATCTTTAATTGAAATCAAAATGAATATCGCTGGGACACAGAGAGCAAAAGGGAGTGAAAGTAGAAGTGGATATAGACTCATTCCTTCCCTTATTACTTGTCTACCTGCCAGTTGGTAACATTTGATTTGTTGACTGGAGACTGTTACATTTTTGTATTATTTGCCTTTTTTTCCTTTTTTTTATTCATGGCAGCAGCCAGAAACACAAAAAAGAGCAAAAAACTAACCAACTAAAGGCAAGACCTTCCTCTAAACCTTTGCCAGTATCATCTGTGCTCTGTTTCCCTTTGGCTCAGCATCCCTTTTTTTTTTTTCAAATTGTTTGATAATTCATCTCCAAGCTCTAATTTACCCCCCATCGTCAGCCCTGTATGTTTGACCATCGTGTGAGACATACAGCTGAATTCCAAATGAGCTGGTAGTGTATAAAGTCCTTCTTGCAGGGAGAGCACCTATTTATGGACATGTTTGTTTGTTTTTCATCAACGTTAACCCTTTGGGCGGGTATCGTCCGTATGCCGTCTTTTCAAGAGCACTCCCAGGAATGTCCTTGGGCAGGATGTCATGCTGTTTTAGTTAGTCTGGTTTCTCAGTGACTCCTAGGGTGAAAATACAAGATAATTAATTTTGTTTTCACTATTAGAACATGTGACCTGTAACATGGCAATTTTTGCAAAAATTCCCATCCCACAGGATGAATTTATGAGGTCATCCTGTCTCACTTTTACAGAGGTAAAATTATAAGATCTTAAATCCATTTATGATGCCACGATGACCCAGATTAAAGTGATATTCTAAAATATGCAAAATGTCACAATGCGGTTTTTTAAAATAGCTTTTTGTTTTTTTAAATAACAAGAAGATCTTTTAATTTGGCTGTTTTTTTATACTAATGGTAAGTGAAACACAAAAAAGACACTTATTACAGACGTTAAGACCTTGAAACACTTATCCAATCTATACATATGGATGTCTAAGAGGTATTCATTAATACCTTTTGAACAAATATAGCAGGGACATAAGCTCTATAATATGTTAATGACAGACTTTAACCCTGGTCTCTCATCTGGAAACACACAGCAAAAGCTTAAAAGTATGATCTTTTCAGGAACTTAAACCAATCAAATGTTGCTTCAATATGTCAGGGCTGCAATACCGTTTAGAAAGATGTGTAATAACAGTGTAATTCTCTGCTGTATGACACTGTGATCGGTCATCATCATTGGTCAAGATCATAAAGTTAAAGTAGTTATTAACATTGACTTATATTTGTATATCAATACAACTTCAGAGGACACACAGCTTCAAATGTGATGAAACAGTACACATAACACCTCAAAAAAGATGAATGCAGTGATTTAAAAGCATGAAACAGCATGCTATAAGAAAAACCTTCTTGGCATTTGTTCTCCTAAGCTTTGACTGAGCTCTAAGCAACAAACATACTTGTCCACATGAGCAAACACCCACACAACCAAGAAGGATTGAGAATATGAGGCCATCAGAGCTTTGCACATTATATTGACTGGTGGAGGTCTTCACTGTTTAAGTGGGGCTGCCTGCTGAGGTTTTCCTCCCCAGCAGTGGGCCTATAAGAGTGGTAAGTGGCTGTGATGAGACACTGTCCCCTGTGCCTCCTTCAGCTGCCATTCCCTTTAAATTGAAACAGAGTCCTGCAAATAAATGCCACATTCTGAGCAGGGAGAACGTCTGAAAGTTGCATTTCATATAAGCACCCTTTGGGGAATTGGCCCCTGCACAGTCTGCTTTATTCGCTTTCCTTTTTGTTATTTATATGATGAAGGAGCAGGGCTACATCAGGGTCATTCAGTGTTCATTTATCTTTTTATGTTGTGTTTTGAGGGAAGCTACTATATCCACACAGCATATAGAGCAGTGAATCTGCAACATGACTCCCCTCCCATGGTTCTGAATATTACAGACTGATGCTTTCACCTCTTTGTATCAATATGCATTAGTTTTACCCTCTGTTCATTAGTTTCAAATGGTATCTCTCTTTAAGATTAATTGAAGCTAGAATAAAAGAAAATGGCTCCCAAGAGTGGCCTACTGTTTGTTATTCATGTTGGCCTGAAAAGGCAACAGTAAATCCTCCAAGTTGTTGTTTAGACTGGCTGTATTACCATACGTGTGCCATTTCCATGGAGTGTCAGACCCCCCCTGGATCAAATGGGGACTATTGATCCTGCAGCACTCCATTTCAAGTTAATTGTGCTTGAAATGAGGTGCACACACTCAAGCATACCTGCATTGGGAAGCCTTTATTTATTTATATTTGTGGGAGAACACATGTCAGATAAACAGCAAATATTCAATTCACGTCTTATTCAATTTTGCTCAAAAAGCCAGTTGTGCTGAAGTATGCTTTGAAAGCATTTGAACCAGATTGAATCAGACTTTGATTCACAATAAGGCCAGCGCTCCAGGAGAGTAAAGGCTGCAGGGGAACACACTTAGGCAATACAATGCAGAGGACTGACTGAGAGTTTACCAGCACAGGAATGATTTAACATCATTGGTGTAAAAGCCCTCTTTAGAAACTGATAATATGCACACTTCTTTCAGCCTCTTTGGAGATTCTTTTCCTCAATGGTGACTGAACTCAACTGGGCTGAAATATTCCAGTAGGGCTCAAATTAATTCTGACCTCACCTTTACCTCTTTTCCCTCTGACCCTGACAAAACAGGCTGCAAGGTAACCAGCCATGAAAAGCCTCAATCAACCAAAGAGGCATCTAACTCAATCTTCAACTTGATCATGTGCCAAATTATTTATTTAAATACATATTGGAGTCTTGAAATAAATTATTTTCCTATTTAGTGACTGGAAAAAGGCGGAGGTTTAGTGTCTTTTAAATCAAATCATTCTTAAGCTTTATGTAGCCTCTTAAAAATGGCTTGGTGTTCTGTAATGTAAATCACAAAGGATTTAGTGATAACAAATTTGTCTGTCTGAAAAATTTCTCCCGTGAATTAAAATAAGTAAAGGTGGACCGATCATTCACATTTTAAAGGAGCTGAGAATGTGATTCCATATTTTCCATAGTCAGTGACTACCACTGTTCTTTTTACCAGCTCCAGGGGGTCTGCGCAAATGAACAGCACAGCACCATTTATAGAACAAATCCCTCCCTCTGTTTGTTTATAAGCCTATTCTTTTATAATAGTAAATATAAATAAGTGAAACTGTGTAATGGATCGCATTAAACAGGCAGGCAAATTGAGGCCGGATTTAATTTGCATGCCAGATTTGCCTGCTGTAGGCTGGAGCTGTGCCGTAGGGCAGCCTTTTCATTAATAGGTTCTAGTCTCTTCAAATCCATTAAGCCAATTGAACCCGTACATAATCTGATTTCAGAGGCACCGTGTAAATGTAGCGGTATGCCTGTCTTAGAGCAGATCCCGGCACTTTCTCAAGTGCAGTGATGTCGAGCCTTCTGTAGAAGGACAGAGCATCTACGGAAAAAAAATCACATAACACAAATTATAAAATATCATAGAGTTGTCATGCCTGCTTTAATAACCAACCTTGACCATATTATCTAACCTCAAAAATAACCAAAAGCAGTTGTTTTACAACTTCAGTTGAACTTATCTTCAGGAGCGTCCCTTCACCTGCCAGGTTATTGCATGACCAAGTGACGCTGTATATGACACTGAACGCCACATTTTCCATTTAATGTCCATACATGAGTTACTGTGGGGAGAAAGCTTTGCATTCTGCAGTACATCATTTTGAGAAGCACCTGATGAGTGCCCATGTGAACAGGTGAACAGAGACCTGCATGTAAAATGCTTTGTTGACCCCAGATGAAGTTAAAAAAAAAGTTTCCTTAGTTCCAACTGTCTCCCAGCAGCAAAACATTTTTCATGCTGTTAGTTTGACAGGGCTTATGCTACCTCATAACAGCTTGTCTGTATATGAAACAGATGTGTTTTGTCTTATCAATTCAGTGTTGATATGTATAAAATGAATATGTTTCTTGTTATATGAATTGTGAAATTATTAAATTATCATACAACCAAAATGTAAATGTAAATATTTTCTCTTAACATGACGGACATAAACATAATTGAGCTTCTGAGTTTGACTTCTGAGTATAAATCACTCTAGAACATGTGAGGTGAAAGAATCAGTCAGTATCTGTAACAGTGTTCATACCTTCCTTTGGCATGAGGATCTCTTAAAGGAGCATGTCAGGGAAAATATGTCAAGGTTACAAAAATTGTGCAATCAGTGTGCCCTCTCATTCCAGAAAATGTCATTGCAGTTAATAGGGAAGAAAACCTACATTGGTCATTTGTTTTCTAACTTTATACAGATAATCATTTACTGTTGGACCAACCAGTGTATCATTAACTGCCTCTTCATCATATCTCATAGGCTTCCCAATTGTTGCACTATATGTGTGGTTAGGTTAAAAACTGTGTCTTGATCTGGGGATTGCAATTATTAGTAATTATTTCAAGGTCTGAAACTTGCCAGTAATTGACAGAAAATTTGACACAATTTATCATTTGGGAGCACTAAGATGGTTTGTGGTTCATTCTGAATGTCAACTTATTAGATTTCTTGTTTTTGTCCCGTAAGACTGAGGGAGTTAAAAAAAAATGCAGCAACCTTCTTTATTGGAGGGTGCTACAATAAAATGATGTATCTGTCTTTAATGGTAAAACTGCCATGCTTGTAGGCTTTGATATGCAGAGCACAAATTGAAATATTTATTTTGTGTAAATGCTTCTTTTATTGAAAATACTACAACAATACATCATAAGAGGCACTGACTCCCAGCCCTGTTAACAACCTCACTGTTGATACAGGAGGGTCAGGATGACCTGAATCTTTGTTTGTGTGACTGGTTCTTCAGAATCGTGGAGGAAAACACTGCTGGAGGCACTCGGAAGACAAGGCTCGACATAGTCCAGGTCATGCCTGAGTGACCCAACTAGCCCCAGATTTACACGCTGTACACACCCCAGCATCTGGGCCAACAGGGAGCCGTGCGCACACACACATACATGCGGACACAGACACATGAACACTGTAAATGTGAGGAGAGGACAGGGACTCACCATTGGGAAATCTATACAGCTTATAATTGGGGAAGGCTACAGAAGGAAGAAGAGAGCCATAACAAATCTACACAAGGGTGCACCAGGCTAAATATACCTGCATGTGTGAGAGGGTACTCAGAAAGTATGTTGATTTCAGTGGATGGGGGGCAAGGAATACATCAGAGCAGAGAAATCAATAAAAAATAACTCAAGATGTAAACATTTTAAATGGCCTGTGTTTCAAATGTGAATAGTTTAACTTAATCAAGCAAGTTTTTATCATTGTGGTACTTCACGGAGCGATCAGCTGAAACGTTGAAAATATGCTCAGTGATATACCAGAAAGGAAATGGGACGTTTCTGACTTGTAAGAGATAAATACTGCAAATTTGCAGTTTTAGAACCACTGTATGCGAAGCAGTTAACTGGACCTCACCTGAAGTCTCCGAGACTTAATTTGCAGTTCTTAAACAGTACCACAGTGATTTCTGTGTCAGAGGATTTGTCACTGCTGCTGTGAGGTCTTCCTGCTTTTGAAAAAACACAATGGGTGAAAAATTAAATCCCCGGAGGAGGATTTAGACACTTATATAACTTTCCAATTATAAAGTTTTTTTTTTCTTCAAGAACCCTCAGTGGCCTCCCTTCTGTTTATATGACTCACAAATATCTAATACTGAACTGTGTATAATACCAGTATGCCCACATGACTGCAGAAAAGGCTCTTTTGCTTTCTGCCCGACTGAGTCTGGCATAATGGGTGGCTTGAAAAGCTGTGAGCTTAAACCAGCACACTCCTGACAAAGCCTTGGTGGCTTGCTGGGAAGCTGTGCATCCAGGGAAGTTGCCAAAAAAACTAATTTTCAAGAGCACTCAGCATGCTCTTAAAGCTGTCTAATAGAACCACACCCATAGGCCACTGGACATTAAATACTTCACTCCTGCATGGCAGTTTGCCGAAATGACTAAATTACCACAAATCCCGTTGATGGGAAGAGAAAAATAATAGACGGTAAAATAAGAGAAATAACTGGACTTATCTGAATATCCAGGTTCAGTTTGAAGATTTCATCCTTTTTCAGCTCCAGCAACACATCCAGCATACCGCAATGCCACGAGTATGTGGATAAGTCAACATAGCATCAAATAGTTGAATTGCAAAACTTATGGTCTCTGCATAAGAAATTGAGCTAGGTGAACTTCAGTGGGATCCGTTGCTGGCGTCTACTCATCATTCCCAGTATTTAGTCAGCTTTCAAGTTCACTCCAAAGTTGGTGAAAGCGGTGTTGGTAGAGGCATGCCATTCAGGGACTTGCACACAAAAGTACTCCATATAGCAATTATTTTCATTGTCAATTGTTCTTCTTTCCCTCAATCTATGATTAAGGACTGTAAAGTAGATGGGGAAGAATTCTCCTGTTGGAACAGGGAATAGCAATTCCCAAGCCCGATCGTTGGTCTTTCTCAGCCATGAGAACAATGAAATACATACATGAGTTGTTCAGCAAGAGTGCCTCCTTTTTCACGGTATTTTCAGATATGTAAAGTCATATAAGTAACATCAAGTGCCTCCCCATATCCTTATACTATTTACCTCTACACGTATTGTTATTTTCATGGCTAAATGTTGTACATTTTATTCAAGCATATTACACCAGCGAATTGTAAGAGAAAACATCCACTGATGAAAACATGATTGACTTTGTTGGACATCCGTTAGCATTGCGTGTTGAAGGTACTCCTGAAGCCTGGTGTAATCTGTTCCTATTGGACAAAAAAAGCAGACTGTGAGGGAACTGTTCATTTCTTTTAAATGTCCCAAATGTTCTTACAACTAAGCAGAGATTGTGACTGTTTAACTGTGAGGTCAAAAATAAACTAAATTCAAAATAATGCCATGTGAACACACTAGACCATGTTAAAGTGCTATGGGTTTGTTTGAATGTCATCCTATGAATAAGATGGGTGACATGACATTCCTATGAATGTCATGTATTAAATACAAAATGAACAAAAAGCTTTAAAAAAAGAACCAGAAAACACCACTGGCCATGTTTGCAGATGTTTCATGAAATTATGAAGTACATCTAATTAAAGTGAGAGGTTATTGTAAAAAAAAATAAAAAAAAATTAAAAAAGAACACCTGGTAGTTTCTATTAGCCTCATACTATTACAAGACATACTTTATTATAAACCATATTGCTTCCAAGGCAGTGAAAGGTCCTAGTTCCCTGTGACCCCCCCTTACCTGCTGGCCTCAAACCTCCCCTTACCTTCTACTTATATTTCAAACCACCTTGATATTCACTTGACTGTGGGTGGTCCAGGCAGTGCTAAAAAAAAAACACCACCACACACAACAGTTATGCACGCGCACATACACTCAGGCAGATCCAGGCATCGAGTCTGTCCATCCAGTTTCAAAAACCGCTAAAGCTACCTGCATGTTCTGTAATTATTGTCCTTTATGGTATAAAGGCAGGGAAGGATCAAGGATGGGGACATTCGCAGAGAGGATCATTCATGAAAAAAGCCCCCTGTCCTGGCCTCAGGACCACCTAACCTGTGGCTTCTATTCCTGACCCCATAGTGTGTGTGTGGGAGGGGGGATATTACCTTTTCGCCAGCGGTGCTTCCCCATATTCCCTGACCCCACAGAGACATTACAGTGGGCAAACATAAAGCAGGACTTCATGAAGCCTGAGCTTATCTGGACTGTGAAAGTATGTGAGACATGCCTGGGAACAAAAGGCTGTCTCTCAGCCTGGGAGCAGGCCAAGGGGCTCTCTTTCAGCAGCCACAGATTGCCCTGTGTTTTCTTAATTGACAGACCCCGGTCACATTTGATAGAAATGACATGCAGCTGGCAGGCAGCCCCGGCCTTCCAGGTAGACCACCTTTCAGCAGGAAAATTGTCCTAAATCTACTTCATAAAGAAGTTTGCTGGAGGTCTCTGAGTCTGTGTCATATACTGTGGTAGGTTCACCTCACTGTGCGTTACGCCTGCGTGGAAAACTTCAGTAATTTCAGAGAGAAGGGTCACATTTCAAAAGTCCTAATGCACTCCAGTATATGGTGCGGTGCATGGTACAAACAAGTATATCAGAATATCCTACATCAGCAGAAATTAGTCAATGTCCAAATAATTGTGTTGTACCTCACATGTACATAAGAAGAGGCACACATGTAGAGATGTTGATTCTTAGTTTTGTAATTACTTAGTTTTTTAAACCAAATAGTTTTTGGTTTTGTTTCGCGAACAGTACTGATTGGAAATAACATCTGGATCTCATTGTGCTTCAGAAGCTGAACCAGCTATTCCATGTGCATTGGGTATATCTTTTACATACTGTACTTATCTGATTAGGCATTAAACTGAG